CCAAAAATGTAAGCACTCAACACATAAACATGTAACAAACCCTTTACCTCAATTCTAGGCTTAACCCCTCTTAAAAATGAAACACACCATGCAATACTTAATTTACCCCACTAGTTAACCCTCAACCCACAACTATAACCCCTCTCAAGTTGTTAATCTTTTTAACACTAAACACTCTATGTAATCTAACTCTAACATTAACCCTTCTCTAACCCTAACCCCCCTTTACCATAACCACTTCTAACATTATTTTAACCCCATGTAAATGCATTTACACAACTGCATACACTCATTATACTTATAGATTCAAACAATACATACAAGCAGAAATATGCGTATACATACATATTTACATAATATATAACAATATATTATATATTTTTTACATATTTTATACCTGCAAAGTCCAGTTAATAGATTAGTTAAACTCACATTGCCTTGGATACTAATTGACAATAAACATAATATGACTCACATTTTCAGCTGCATTTGTAATAGCATGCTCCAAAATAGTGATAGTAATTACAATTTAAGCTGTTCCTAATAAGATATCTTGTACAGAATAAGCAGTTCTTTAAATAAACAAATATACCACCAGTAAATAGTACATCGAATGCTAGAGAGCTATTTAACCCCTAAAGAAAATGAAGATCAGAGATTATTAGAGATCATATCCGCACTGCTTGAAGAATATATAAGATTAATTTATGAAAATGTATATTGCTATTGGCTTTCATATAAACTACACTAAGCTAAAACACCTAAATTAGATCTGTCACTTTTTTTTTTGACAATCTTTATGTTCAGTAGTTTGTTAAACGAGGGTACAGAAGGGAAGAAAGGGAGGGCAGTCAGTTCTATGTTAAGGATATGCATTGTCTACAGCATACTTTCATAAGCCCTGGACACGTTTTACAATAGTGGTTTGGTATCTCGCGGGAGTTCAGGTTAGGGAGGGCAAATACAATCATAGATATATTGAGCAACAATCCGCACATCGCTGGTGTCAAGTATCTTTTGTAGTGTATCCCTCTCTCGCTTTTGTGGCCCTGTGGCGCCAATGATTAGGGGTTGATGGGTCGGGTGTGGGTCTCTGCATTGGTTATGCGTACCGTAGCCCGGGCTGCGACGTGAGAGGTTGTGCTGTCACTTTTTACTATTTCATAAAGATGTAATATTTATGAAACACTGATTAAGACTGCATTGGAATTTCACTGAAATTCCAACGTAATCAAGAGATAACATAACACAAAGTAGGGACCACTTTTGCTTAAAGGACCACTATAGTGCCAGAAAAACATACTCGTTTTCCTGGCACAATAGTGCCCTGAGTGTGCCCCCACCCTCAGGGACCCCCTCCCGCCCGGCTCTGGGGAGAGGAAAGGGGTTAAAACTTACCTTTCTCGAGCGCCGAGCGGGGAGCTCTCCTCCTCCGATCCTCCCTTTCGGCTGAATGCGCGCACATTCAGCCGGTCTCATAGGAAAGCTATAAATAAAATAATGCTTTCCTATGGACGCTTACGTGTTCTCACTGTGATTTTCACAGTGAGAATCACGCAAGCGCCTCTAGCGACTGTCAATGAGACCTTCACTAGAGGATTAGAGGGCTGGATTAACCCATTTATAAACATAGCAGTTTCTCTGAAAAAGCTGGACCTGGCACCCAGACCACTTCATTAAGCTGAAGTGGTCTGGGTGCCTAGAGTGGTCCTTTAATGAAGCTGTTATGGTGTGTAGATCATACCCCTGCAGTCCCACTGGAAATTCTCTGCCATATAGGAGTTAAGTTTATGCAGCCCTAGTCACACCTCCCTACATGTGACTTACACAGCCTTCTTATACACTTCCTGTAAAGAGTTATCTATTGTTTCCCCGAGGAGTGGACGGAGGTTGGGGCCAACAGGAGACACGTCACCCGAAGGCAAAGCCGTAGGCAATATGATTACTGCTGACAACGGGACTGCGGCACTCGGGGACACTATCATTGGGACACACAGCTAACTTAACATCCCTGGGGGGAACTCTGGGGCCAGAAAGGACTGGAGTGTGTGCAGATATGGTGGGGGATGCCGGTCATCGGACAAGTCGTTGAACGGGGAACTAGTTTATTTCACTGTATTCGTGTATATAGTTTCCGACATAATTGTTTTTTATTCGAGCCTGCTGGGGAGGGAAACAGAGGGACCGAGCCACACAGGGCAAAAGGGAGACAGGTGGGCCACTTGGGGGTTGGGGAAAGGGTGGGGTGGAGTAGGATACCAGCCACTAGTGAGAGGAGACACAGCGACAACTAGCACCCACGAGCCTTAAGACTCAGGTCTTCTGATAAGTAAATGACAAGGGGTCCCCGGACAATCCCGAACTTGCAGATCCTTCAGATGTACAGGCCCACCCCCGCTCCGCATTTTGTCAAACCTAACCAGGGGCCAAACACGAAGAGCGACCCAACCGGGTACATACCTTCCCCACCGACAAGTGCCACTGTAGCCTGAGGGGACAGCCACTAGAGGCGCATCGGCAATCATTGAGGCATATTATGCCTCAATCACGCAGAGCGTCCATAGGAAAGCATTGCAAAATGCTTTCCTATGGGCACTTTGAATGCACCCGCGGCAGTGCCACGCATGCGCATTCTGTGCCGGTGACGTCAGACAAGGATGCTGAAGTCGGCGGGGGAGGAGAGATAAGGGAGCCCGGTAGGGGGAAAAGGGTGAGTAGCTGAAGGGGTTTTAACCCCTTCAGGTCCGCAGGAGGTGGACCCTGAGGGTGGGGGTACCATAGTGTCAGGAAAACCAAGCGGGTTTCCTGACACTATAGTGTCCCTTTAAACCCCAATGTTTGTGTTTCAGTACCATATCTCTCTGCCCCTCTGTCCTTTAGCTTGCTCAAATTCTAGAAACTGTAAGGCTTAAGAAGCAGCACTGCTGATTGGCTAAGAGAGATCAGTTGACTCTCTCAGCCAATCAGTGGTTCCCCATTCATAAAACCGACTTGAAAAAGGTATGTTTCTTTTAGCCAGTTTTTTTGTTTGGGGAGCCATCCAGTCATTTCAATGAACTTGTCATTGTGCCTAGAATGCTCTTTTAAAGGCGCACTCCAGACACCACAAGCATTTTACCTAGTTAAATTGCTTCATGTGTGAGGTGTGTATTTCCCTTTTGAATTTTACATAAAGTGCCAATTTCAATAGAAACTGGCACTTTATAGGCAAATGCCCATAGCTCCTGCCTTGCAAAGACTTTTCATTGAGCTGCACTGGGATGTTTGGGCTGGATTAGAAGGGGAGGGCTTGCAAATGTTTCAGACGAGAGAAATGCAACTTTTACAAGCTGTTTTTAGATATAACCAAAATTAAGAAAAAAAAAAACATTTAAATATATTAATTAATTGGGGGCACTTAAATACATAATGTTTTTCATTGGGGGCATATCTACGTAACCATGATTTATTTTTAATTTAGGCAGTGGGATGTTCCTTTAAGATAATACTGTTAACAAGTTTCTTGAAAAATCCATTTATGTGTACCAGTGAGAGTGAGCCACGCTTGTATACCAACAAGGTAACAAGAGGGGAGGCTATGGAAGCTTAAGCCACATAAAAGTTTAAGGGTGTACAAGTGTCTTATTATTCTGCATCTTTTAGCATGCCAGCCAATTCAGCCATTTCTGCCTAAAATTTATAATTCACTAAAATGTCACTCAGAATTTCAACCAAATCACACTTTAGTGAATAATCTTTGAGCAGTGATGTGATATTCACTGTAGCTACAAACAGACCAATGAATAATTGTTCTGTGCCAGGTCATATGACACTATGTAAAGAACAGATTGAAGAAATGATGGATATCCCACTGTCAAAAGAATAAATGTGCTAATCCTCAATTGAACCAACGCATTAGGGGAACGCAGCAGCGCAAACATAAAGAGGCAATTTCTAAAGAGGTGAGAAGCTTGTTTACTGAATGTCAAACATAATTGTCGTTTTACCTATTGTACAGCGCTGCGGAATATGTTGGCTCTATAAAATAATTGTAAAAAATAGCTTGCCTTCAAAATGATCCCTGTTCTACAGTAGTGTAAAAACAGACATGCACAGTAGATTAGTCTGGGAGAGTTTTGGGATATATGAACACTTACAAATTCATAGAATGTTTGGTTAACTGCATTAATTAAAATATTTATTTTTATAAAATATCGTAATTATGTATGTAACACCTATCGCCCAATAGGCTTACCTAGGATCTTTTCCATGTGGCAACGTAGTAAATACAGCCCTGTATTTTATGTTGGGCATCTACTTTCTTGCAATCAGAAATTTTTTATTCTTTCTCTGTTATCTTTCTGGAGACTGATATTTCCATAATTTCCCTGTTGTAGAAATTGCAATGCTTACATTGCCAGGTTAAACACACCTTTAGTGGCCTTCTTCCAGACAGCCACTAGAGGCGCTTCAACTGCACATGCTTAGTAAAACTTGGTCACCTGATGATACAGCTCACCGGAAGGTATTGTATTCAATACTTTCCAATAAAAAGCATTGGATGAGTGCGGTGCTTGCTGCGCATGTGCGTCAGGTCCCCAATGAGCCTCTAAGAGAAGGATTGGAATGATCCATTGCTGGAGAAAGCTACGCCTCCATGATGACATTGCATCGCATTATTGGTATTTTCGAAGGATCAGGTGTATGCATTCTGGGGCCTTGTTACTCAATAGGACCATCACCTAAAAGCAATCTTTCCACACTACATAAATGAGCTCGGATACATCTCCACAGCCCAATTTATAGTCCAGGAAATGGCTTATATTTCCCAGCCCGTCCCACACCTTCTAAAGGAAAATTATTGAGCATGTTCAGAAATGCCAATCATGTGAATAAGAAAAGTTTGTGCGGTAGCTATGTGGTTTTTCTGACAAAGCTTCTCATACACTTGACTGGGTAAATACTTAAAGGGACACTACCAAAAGTTTGATTATTATTGCCTATATTAGAATGTCCATAGAAGAAAGGCTTATAAGAAGTTTTCGGAGTTAAAAAGCGATTGTTATTTATAAAGCGCCAACAAATTCCGCTGCGCTGTAATAAAATGAGACAATTTTATGCATGATGCATTTTTGCACTTTTAGTACTTGGAGTGTCCCTTTAAGATCCCAATATTGTAATAATGATATACTGAACAAGTCACACAAAAACAGACGCCACTAACTATTCAGCAACATTTTATAGAAAAAAAAAACGACACAAATAATAGTCCATTATTTTATTGTTTACATTCTTAATTATTCCCCTTGTCATCGTTCCTAATGCATTCAGTGAGCATACTCTCCTTAATTACTCTATTTATACAAAGAAATATCATAATCACAAAGTAATTTTCACAGTAACATCAGTGCATTGACAGAGCTGACGTTCCACTCCTAATAGCACCCTCCTCTGGACATTCTTTAAATTACGGGTTCATGAGACCTTCCATGCTAAACAATGCATTATCCCCATTTCCTGGCACAGTCAGGCAAATTAGTACATTTCAAATATATTTGTCATACAGCCTCACTGTATGAAACACCATGGCAAATAGAGTTTCTATAATTTATATAACCTACTGAATAAACTTAGTCACGAGTAATAAAGAATAATTCAATGATAAAAACAAATTAGAGAAATAATTAACATTCACCATTATGTTTATGTGAGTCATAAAAGAATAATTTTATATTTCAGTTATTTGTCAAATAAAACATATTTTCAGTATTTCTAACTAAAAATGTGTTAAATTTATTAAAACACATAGATAAACCTATGTCTAATACTTCTCATATGGTGCTGGATTCTATTAGATCTGTGGTGTAATAACAGTCGTCCTATTGCCTTCTATGGAACAAATGCTATTCAATTACAAGAAAAAAGCTTGCCTTTTTTGTAACAGAATTTAGTCCAAAGACATCACTGTGTGCGTACGCGTGAATGTGTTCAGCGCTTGTTCGGTCAAATAGGAGTCACAGCCCAGTTAAATTAAAAGCAATTACAGTGTTAATCAAAAATACAGATTAAAATAAATACATATTAAGCATAATTCAATACAATCAAAAAGTGCAAATGTTACGTAAAGTCACCACCGACATTCCAGGTACTCCTACCCGTATATGTCGCAATACGCTATTTTAAAACAATATAGAACGACGTCCCTTTGATCCAAAAATACAAACGTATTCAAAACTGGGTTCCCCATAGAGAAATTCATGATTTAATCAAGGGTAGCCAACTTGTCTTTTTGCATGAATTAATTAATGAAATACAACTCACAGTATCAACAGCCAGTCCACAGCCGTCTCTAGATAATGGAGTTTATTATCATTCTGGCACCCATTTTGTCGACACCTGATCCGTTTATTTGGCACAGAGAAGCCTTGACATTTATTGTAAAAACGAAACCCACATTTCTTAAGTCACTGCCGAGATTTCCTCAAACAAAACAAAAAGGTTGATTGATTGTGCAAATGTTTTTTGTTTAAAAATGTAATTCACAGTGTGACAAAATCAAGCATATACTCCTTTTGTGTATAATCAGTTTGTTGATTGAACAAAAATCGGATTGCCATTTTTGAGTAATCAAGGATTTTTCCCCCATTTTGTGGCACTATTAAAACTCCCATTAAACGTTTTCTTTTGCCTTTTTAAGGTCAGTAGCAGATGCAAATGTGCGTTTAAGGCTCGATTGACTTTTTTTGTAGCCTGTACTACTATGCAGCTATTACTAGATAACATTTACAGTAGTACTAGCATTTGTTTTCCAGTTTACCAAGAGACCCTTTGCATACATTTTTGTGGTACGTGTTAACGGGGAATGGTTACGATACCACTGGATAAAACATAGAAAGTCACCTATAACTTGTGTCAACCCTGTTTTAATGCAATGCTTCCTTTCCTTCAAAATTTCTATTAAAAATTTAGCAAATTATATTACAATCCAGTAGAGTCCAGGCATAACCAAGGCACCATTGAAAATGAGTTGGAGAAATCAAAACATGTTGACTGCCAGGTGTAAAGTACAGCACTTATAACAATGATTGTCAGGTAGCCAAGATGGAGGCACCCAGTTGCGGGATAAAAAGATGAGGATTTCTACATTTGTTTTCAGGGGTCTTCAACACATCTTTGTTAAATATAGGGATACATAAACATATATTAAATATCCTGCGTATTGGTAGTCAGATAACTTTAAAAGATGGGTACTGTGCAAATAAGAGTTTGCAAGTGCCCTTTAAGCATTAAAGGCAATATTGTTTGCTTATGTGCAAGCACCTCAGGTAACTAGCGTTTTTAAGGCCTTTTTTACAGGGAGATATTACACTTAGATTCTCAGTTGAAGTAGAATTACATCTCCCATGATGCTTTGTCAGCCTTGAGGGCTGGCGTGGGGGCTGTGGTTCTACAATTGTTGAGTGTCTTCTCTTTGCCTAACTTTGTCTTAAATTACAATTTAAATGATGTGATGGTTGTCTAGCAAAGTAAAGTAAACCTGAAAAATTAATACATAAACCATGGCTAAGCAATTTGAGTAATCTTTATAGTTTGAATGTGTTTGTCATCCTTACATCCTTAATTTAAGTTGAAAGATGGAAGAGTGAGGTAAAAATGTGGAAAACTCCCTTTGACTGAAAAGGTAGTATATAACAGGAATAGCCTCCCAGTGGAATCAATAAAGGCTGACATAATAAAGGAATGTATATACCGTGTTTCTCCGAAAATAAGACCGGGTCTTATATTAATTTTAGTCACAAAAAACACACTAGGGCTTATTTTCAGGGTAGGGCTTATTTATTTACGGTACCGGTATGTACAGCTTTTTCTCTTTGCACTCATCTTGTCTGGGGATCAAAATACCGTACTGTCTAATTAATCCACCCCCCTCTAATTAATCCACCCCCCCCTTTAATTAATCCACCCCCCTCTAATTAATCCAGCCCACCCTTTAATTAATTCACCCCCTAATTAATCCAGTCCACCCTTTAATTAATTCACCCCCCTTTAATTAATTCACCCCCCTCTAATTAATCCAGCCCACCCTAAATTAATTCACCCCCCTTTAATTAATTCACCCCCTCTAATTAATCCAGCCCACCCTTTAATTAATTCACCACCCCTTTAATTAATTCACCCCCTCTAATTAATCCAGTCCACCCTTTAATTAATTCACCCCCTCTAATTAATCCAGCCCACCCTTTAATTAATTCACCACCCCTTTAATTAATTCACCCCCTCTAATTAATCCAGTCCACCCTTTAATTAATTCACCCCCCTCTAATTAATCCAGCCCACCCTTTAATTAATTCACCACCCCTTTAATTAATTCACCCCCTCTAATTAATCCAGCCCACCCTTTAATTAATTCACCCCCTTTAATTAATTCACCCCCCTCTAATTAATCCAGCCCACCCTTTAATTAATTCACCACCCCTTTAATTAATTCACCCCCCTCTAATTAATCCAGCCCACCCTTTAATTAATTCACCCCCCGCCCCCTTTAATTAATTCAGTCCCAGACATAAAATATCTACCGGTACTCACATTTCAAAGATTCCTTGCCGAGTCCGACCACTGGGTGCCTCACCGCCCGGAAATGGATCCTTCCGCTGAAGATCCGTGAAGGCAGACTGACGGCGCTGCGAAAGGTCGTCATCACGTTGCGCGATGCCGCGGCCCGCAACGCTCCTCCCCCTCCTCCTCATACGGTAGAAGAAGGAAGTCTCGCCGGGCTGCAAGGTGCAATGCCTAGGTCTTATTTTCGGGGTAGGGCTTATATTGCAGCCCACCCCGATAATCCAGCTAGGGCTTATTTTCGGGGTAGGGTGTATTTTCGGGGAAACAGGGTATGTTATGAGATTTATGAATGTATTATGGGATATGCATAATGATTTCCTCATGAACAAATTAAACAAAATCAGGAAAACTGAAATCTCATCCCTGTACGTGGAGATTTGCAGACTTCAAAAATGATTGGACCTAACCTCACCAGCAACAAAGGGGCCTTCAGAAATGTAAATTAAGAGGTATTCAAGACTTCCACAGGTTATAAAAATAATATAAGAACTCTTTATCATTTCATCCTAAAGTAGATCTTTTTACTTGTTCTTGTAATCACTGTCCAGAAATTGCTGAACCTGTCTGTTATCAGGATTGATTGATGAGAATTTACAATCATTAAACGCTGCAACGCAGTTCTATCATATAAGGAATGTTAGTGTGATAATTACACCGACATACTGTGGGTATTGATTCAATATGGTGTATCCTTAGAATCCTTTTCTATACAGGAATTACAGTTGCCATCCATGCTCCATTTATCAACCTGTGTATGCCATGGGGCACCTCAACTGGGCAGAGGGGCTTAAAACAAGTTTAATTGTAGGTGTTTACAGCTGTACATGGCCTGAATGATCTGTTAGTAGTGGTTGGTGGTTAGAAGGTTGAAAAACATATGGTTCAATACAGTAAGAGACATGTATTCGACACATTCTTTGTAAGAAGGAAAGTTCCTATTAGGACCTTTCAATCAACACACTTTGCCTTAGCAGCTGCTTGTTTTAGAGCCTTCTGGAATAATAAAACAGAAAGCAGAGATAATGGTTTTATCGGCCAGTCAGTTTACTCAAGTAAAATGTTTATTTACCAGGAACCTAATGAAGACAGGTTTTCGACAAAGTGTTGTTTTTGTTCCAGCAGGCCTGTTCTGCACAAAGAAATACTTTTAGATTTTTTCAAATCCTGTTGCACCATTTCAAAGCCACCACCCCTTGCACAATAGTAAGCCTCGAACACTAGCTAAACTAGTAGTAGCCTAGGTGTCTGCAACCTTTGAGTTAAAGAGTAAACCATTAGTTTGTCAACCAACGCCCCAGAACTTGGAACGGACGTCCGAAACTGCGGAAATCTTCCGAACCTTCCTTAAGTAAGAAAAATAACTACAATTATTTTCAATTTCACTTTCACTCCAGTTTTTCCAGAGATACAGTATGTTCACATTGTTAGTTTTGGCAACCAAACCAAAAAACAAATTAAAACAAAATTAAACGTATTATAAGAAGCCTTCCATTGTCTACGTTCCAGAGTAGAAAGAACTGCATAAACACTGATATTTAGCCCACTTTTATCAAGTTATATACTGAACTGCAAAACTGCAATATATATACGAATATTAAGTATATGCTACTTAACATTGCCAATATGTTAAATAACATTCGTTAAATAAAATAATTATCTCATGTCAAAACCGTGTCACAGCTCCAATTTTAGATATTGCAGATAGTCTCATTAAAATGATGTATGACAGTCTAGCAGATATCATACCTGATAGCTCTCTCCTATCAATAAATGAATTATTACTATTGTTACAATCCTAGTTATTATAACAGTTTGTAAATATATTGTTTTCCTGACCACTACTAAGTGTAACTAAGGTAAGCTTTTTTGAAGTGGATTCCAGCACAGCATAATACGAGGTGTATAACACATCTCAACGTGGCTTATTAAAATATACATAGTTTTCTTGCAAATACTGAACCCTTAGATCAGTGATCCCAAGTCATTGGATCTTCTGATGCTCACGGTCCTCCAGAGAGTATCAAATGAGTAGAGTGTACCATAGAGTGTAAACAGACACAGACAGTAGCTTGCAGTCTTCATGCGGACTCTCCCGACACAGTAGTTCCCGTTGCTTTCTTCTTGGGGCGCGCTTTTAGATTTTTGGGCTGTGGCTGATATGAAACCAAACAGAGACATTGTATTTCAATAAAAGAATAAACCGTCACATACAGTCATATCTTGCAGCGATTAAAACTAGGGTCACGTAGCCTTAAAGGTCATCTGTCATAAAATTGTAAAGTTTTGTGGAAAAAAAACGGTTACATTTAATAAAACGTAATTAATTATTTTGCTTACTGCTGAAGGTTCACACAAAGTCATCACAGCAGCACACAAGTTAGGTTAAACAGCAGATATCCGTAAAATCTGACCCAAAATGGCTGCTCAGCCATATTTAAAAAAAAAAAAACAATAAATATCACAATAAGTTATATACAATACAATAAACAAGTTTTAGTAAATGTAATATGTTTAAAAAAAATAAAAATGAGAAGTGAAGATTTGACAACAGTTATCCTTTAAGCAATGCATGTAGACAACAAATGCAAGTTCCACTAGCAGCTGGCTGGATACTCTACCTGTTGTACCTTTCATTCAGCCTTGTTTCTGATCCCTTAACTAGAATAAGTTTGCTTGTTAGTTCCTAACCTTAGAGACTCTTTACCATAGAAATACCTTGAGTGCTGATCCCTCTTACTGCTGACTAACATTGTATACAGACACAAAGGGCTCAAACTTTGCAAGAATCAGCTTTAAAAAGGAAAGGTACAGCCAGTTGCCACATCACTGCCATCTTACTACCCAGAACTGTAGACTGACCTAAAGCAATATTTCTCCTTGCACAGACATTTCACTTTTTTCACCCCATTACTGATCAGCAAACCGGCACATTGTGACACCTAACTAGCAGCAATGGACATAACAGGTTATAATTCTGCAGTCCTTGGTCTCAGCTGGCTTCATTTTATATTTATAGGAGCTGTAGCTCATTAAAGGGAAACACCACTGCTCACATAGTTCTCTTGTCTGCAGCCTTTGCAAACCCTCCCTTTCTAACCCCGCCCAGACTTTCTGTGGCTGTCCAATCACACACTTCCCAGTGCAGCTCAACGAGAGGTCTTTGCAAGGCAGGTACTCTGAGTAATTGCGGTCTCTTGAGTTTAGCTTCACTGAGGTAAACAAACTAAGTAGTAACAGGGGCAGTTGTCTGATTGACAGACAGGGGATGCAACAAGGTTAACTTGTAAAGTGATCAATTTCTATTGAAATCTGCACTTTTTGCAAACCTGAGTGTTCCTATGCACATTTAAATAGCTGGAGGTTATTTAGTATCACTTCAGTGGCCACTTAAGTATTAGCTCACCTGCCACGTCAAGGCAAACCTCTTAGTATAGGTGAGTCCTATACTAACAATTCACATTGCTTCTTTCAGCTTCAGGTGTTCCCTATTAAGGGTTCATAAGTATGTAGGGGTTTAGAAAAATGCCCCTCTTTATCTCATTAAAATTTTTTACATTATAGCTGAGGAAAGCAAGGTGAATTGTTAGTGTAAGAATCACCTAAGAGGTTTGCATTGACGTGGCAGGTGAGCTTACACTTAAAGGGACAAACCGTTTTCTGGCACTGCAGGTCCCCTCTCCCTCCCACCCCCATCCCAAGTTGCTGAAGGGGTTAAAACCCCTTCAGTGACTTACCTGTATCCAGCGCCAATGTCCCTCGGAGCTGGTTCAGGGTCCGCCCACGCTCCTCCCCCGCTGACATCATACGTGCATGCACATTAGACCTCCCCATAGGAAAGCATTGAAAAATGCTTCCAATGCTTTCCTATGGGGATTTCAGCTAAGCTGGAGGTCCTCACATAGCGTGAGGATGTCCAGCAACGCTATAGCACACGAAATGTGTGCAATAAATCCGGAAGTGCCCTCTAGTGGCTGTCTAGTAGACAGTCACTAGAGGAGGAGTTAACCCTGCAAGGTAAATATTGCAGTTTATAAAAACTGCAGTATTTACAGTTGCAGAGTTAAGGGTAGTGGGAGTTGGCACCCAGACCACTCCAATGGGCAGAAATGGTCAGGGTGCCTGGAATGTCTCTTTAAGTGATTCATGGAGTGATACTAACAACCTGCAGTTATTTAAATGTGCATAGGGATTTGGGATAGTGTTCCAATAGCTCTTTTCCTAAGCGTGAGTGTTCCTTTAAATGACAAATTTGCACAAATCAAGAGATCAATTTACCTACTTTAAAATTCCAATTTACTAGAAAGCGCTTCCACTGGCTACACACCGGCCTGCAAAATCTCTTAGCAGCTATGCCGGTCTGTGCACATTAATAAATAAACTAGGTTTCATTGACATTTAGTAGTTCTTTCACAGTCAAATGTGCAAATATCCAATAAATCGCTTGTTTTGGAAAAACAAACTCCATGTGACGTCAATTCCAGTGCTATTCTTTTCTGCCATAGTGTTCATAATTCTGCCTCAGTGATTGAATAAAAAAATAAAAAAATTGAGGCTTTAAGGAACATATAGTCTGACCAATTACTCAGATACTATTTCCTAAATTAGGGCAATTGCCCTAATTGAAAATGGGTTCAAATATTCAAGTATTTTTGTTGTTTGTGCAATACTAAACACACAAAGTGCCTTCTGAAAATCAGGGTTATTTAATAACCTGGAAATATGGCGATCTGGAGAGGGAATTGTATATTTTAGATCAAAATGGCCCATTTGTTTTTTTGTTGTCTGGACTGCCCCCTTAAGCTACTGTGCATTTCAACTCCCGTTAAGTGCTAATGGCCCACTGAGACCTGTGACATTTGTACATACATACCACAAATATACACAGCCATCAGAAATATGTGGGTTTATTTTCAAAATGTTCAATCAACTGCACCTTTTATATAAGCGCCTGATTAGTAAATGTGTCCATAAAGTACGTAGATAACAAGTCTATATAAGAACAGCAAATGTTGTAACTATGTGGTGGAAAACCAGAAAATCTGTAGTTAAACAGAGTCCTATTATTCTAAATGTTATTATTAATTTACTGGAGTTGTATTAATAAGATATTAATACATTTCCCTATGGGAGTCAGTGGCCTAGAACTATCACTGTGATGAATAGTCTTTGAGAAGCACGTTCATAAATTGTGTGAATTAATCTATGCCAGTTTATTTTCAGTGCACGAATATCTGCAGACCATGAAATGGACAATTTGAAGTGCAGGAAATAGAGAAATATACAATAAAAAGCTAAGGCTGAAATGTTTGAATATTTTGGTACTAGAATAAATTGTCCATTATAATGCCAGTGATCATATTGTGCAATCTATATTTATTTATTTATTACTGGCATTTATAAAGCACCAACAAATTCCGCAGCGCTGTACAATTGGGAAAAAGACTAACACAATAATAACAGACAGATACAACAGGTAGAGGACCCTGCTCGTGAGCTAAAGGTTAAACTGGGGAGATTTGTATGTTATAGCAGAGAGAGTTAATAGTATAACTGCAGCAGCTGATAGCATGTGAAGGGAATGAGGAGGTGATTGGCTATGGTTCCAAACAGCTGGAAGAGCATGTTATACAGTTAGAATGGAACCAGGGTGGTCGGGTGGGTAGAACCGAGTAAAATTTAAGAGCCTTCATGCAGGGATGTATGATGACTTGGGGCTAAGGAAGAGAGAAAAAAAAAAGGCATTTACAGCTGGGAGTGGCAAGCAGGGAGAGGGTGGGGGATCAGGGGGAATGGAGCAGGCTAGCCATTTGCTATAAACAAGTATTTGGCAACCAAATTTCTAACAGCCAAATTATTAATAACTACATGTAACATCAAGTACAAAATATTACAGTAGTAAACTATATGTAACAATGGTAGAATCATTATAGTAAAGTAATCTGGTTGAGTATAGAATCAGGCAAGTGTATATACAATGAGAGCCGTGCTTGTGTATTTGAAAGTGCAGAACGTGTTCTCAGTGACATTTATTATAAAGTGCATAGCAGGATTAAGATCCTATAGGGCCCTAGGTAAGTTATCATTTTGGGGCTAAGCAAATTCATAATTCCTGGGTACCTGTCAAAACCCTGGATCCACATGCAGTACTGTGATAATGCACTTGTCCAAGTATCATTACAGAAACGTTACGAGTGCCATTAAACTTGTAATAAGTGCAAAGTGCAGAGGCGGGCTACAAAATTAATAAAAGGAATGAAGCATTTTAGTTATGAAGAAAGGTTAATACATTTAAGTCTCTTTAGTTTACAAAAACGTCGCCTCAGAGGGGATATAATAACATTACACAAATCAAGAAGCTGACTGCCATTCTGGGGTCAAGAAGGAATGTTTCTCTAGTTTGTTGCAAAATTGGAAGTGCTTCAAACTGTTTTTTGCCCCCCTTCTTTGGATCAACAGCAAAAACAGATGTGAGGAAGGCTGAACTTGATAGACACATGTCTCTTTTTAGTCTATATAGCTATGTAAACAACAGTTGTTGTGTGTAGATCTTGCCCCCACAGTCTTACTGCTCAATTCTCTGCCTTTTAAGAATTAAATCACTTTGTTTACAAGCCGTAGCCACACCTCCTCTGGCTGAGACTCACACAGCCTTCCTACACACTTCCTGAAATAGTATGTAGTTTTTATAGCTTCCCTGATTGAACAATGTGTTTAATTTTGAATTTATTTTCTCCTGCTTTTTTTACACAGGGAACTGTGGTGGGCGCTAACAGGCTGTTTATGATTAACACTTAATTAACAGAGTAGGAGATAACTAAGCACACTGCTTTGCAAAATTTGATTGAAAATATTTTGTGTGCCAGGAAAGCTGTAGCTAGGGCTACATAAACAGAAACAAAAAGTGATTTAACTCCTAAATTGCAGAAAATAAATCAAGACTGCAAAGTACATTAATCTAGACACCAAAACTACTTCATTAAAGGGACACATGTGACACCATAACAACGGCACTATAATAAAGTTGTTCTAGTGCGAGGAGGTCCTGGGTTACCTAAACTTTTAACACCAGTCCGGCACCTGTCAGCTCTGCCACTCCACATCCATTAGAGTCCGAGGCTTCAATCACGAAGCCTTAGACTGAGGCAGCGTGAAGACGAATCAGTTCGTTTAGGCACAGATTAATAAGAAATTTATATGTTTGTGCCAGCTGAAACAAATTTGAAAACAAGTCTATTAAACTTTGTTTTCTTTTATGGGAACATATATTGCATTTACGATCAAGGTCAATAGTTATGTCAATGTAAACCCTAAATTTTTTACCTCTACTTTTGTAACTTTTTTGACACTCTTGACACTTGGGGTACGTTTGGGTACTTTTTCAACTGCGTCTTCATCCGACTGTTCTGTTTTCACATCTGACATTTCTCCATCTGATTTTACACTCTGTCGCGGATCCTCAGGAGCTGTACAAATTGATGGCACTGTGAAAAAAAAAAATATATTATTTAATGATTACATTATCTACAGCATTATCAATGCAGGTTTGTTTTCCCAATGCTATAGTGTTCCTTTAACTTCGTTTTTAATTTTTTTAAGGAAGCAAAATCTAATTAGATTCTTTAAAATACATGCATTTTTTCACACAACCCAAATCAGTCTTCTTCAACATAAAATCACAGAGGGGATCAAGCATCTCACAACAATTCATCCCTCGTTACTGACACGGTGAATGTGTGTGCAAACGTTGTCAGCACGCACCTTTGTTAATGCAGGTCAGTTTCCCACCATTGTTAAAATGACTAATGATTTTTCGAAACAGCAAAAGATATCTTAAGACACCTCAAATAATATGCTTCATATACTATTTTCTTGCTCTGTTGATTAACTTTAGGTTTGTTTTTGTTTTTTTTTGTTTGTTTGGTGACTCCAAGTATGAGGTTTGTATATTGATTTAAGGTTCACACCTTGACCTAGAACACACAATAGCAGAATGGTATCTAGTAAATAAAACAATCAATACCTATTGTAGCAAACCATGGTTACTCTGCCTTTTTTATACCAATATTTTATTGTTACATGTTCTCCAGTATCAGATTATTTTATATGCATTAAATAATAAAGTATTACATATGGCGCATGAATAAAATGCTAGTAAAAAAATATTCTCAACCTGCAGGTGGTATAAGTATCATCAGAAAGGGGAACACGTAGATTAAAGATTAAATCAAGCTGGCCAAGAACCACAAAAGAGAAAACCGTTCTCAAGCTGCAACCCATGCTTTGTCCATCCCAACAGCGTGCTGTTGTGGTTATGGTGCTTGGAGTGTTCCTCTAAAACAATGGCCCCTTCCTTCACCTGTCACTCAATCTTTAACATTGACTAATCTATGCTGGCATCACAGAGGTCTAAACAGAGGATTGAGGGAGAGCAGGAGAAACGCCAGGAACAGTGTTTCTCCTCCAGCATGGATGCCCTGACACTGATGTGCGGTCTGTTAAACTTGCATTAGACAGGATTGCCCTGCTTGGGGGTGTGATACATTTACTGCTTTATGAGATGTTATCTGTTAAAGTGAACCTGTCACGGCAGATTCACTTTAACAGCATATTACTTTGTATATTGTTCATATCAATAACCCAAGCCTCTGACATTTGCTCAATTGAGTTTTCCATTTTTGATAATTTTGCTCCATTTAAAATGAACAATAAAACACATTCCGGTATCTCAGACCATTATCGAAAATTCCATACATTAGCCTCTTTTCACAGTCTATTTACAGGCAAGTGTCTTATTTTTTTCCTTTTTCAGATTACATTTACATTTCCCATTAGCAGATCAGACACATCCTACCAGTTTATTGCCCTAGACACTTTTCTAGAATTCAATTTGCATAGTCAGTTTTCCCCAATTACGTAATCCCAGCCACTATTAACCAGTACCTTGATCCCACCCACTTTTAACCAGTATCTTGATCCCAGCCACTATTAACCAGTACCTTGATCCCAGCCACTTTTAACCAGTACCTTGATCCCAGCCACTATTAACCAGTACCTTGATCCCAGCCACTATTAACCAGTACCTTGATCCCATCCACTATTAACCAGTACCTTGATCCCAGCCACTTTTAACCAGTACCTTGATCCTAGCCACTATTAACCAGTACCTTGATCCCAGCCACTTTTAACCAGTACCTTGATCCCAGCCACTTTTAACCAGTACCTTGATCCCAGCCACTTTTAACCAGTACCTTGATCCCAGCCACTTTTAACCAGTACCTTGATCCCAGCCGCTATTAACCAGTACCTTGATCCCAGCCACTATTAACCAGTACCTTGATCCCAGCCGCTATTAACCAGTTCCTTGATCCCAGCCACTATTAACCAGTACCTTGATCCCAGCCACTTTTAACCAGTACCTTGATCCCAGCCACTTTTCTCTAATTTCTTGACCCCAGTCACTTTTCCCAAAACACTGAGTCTAGCTACTTTTTCCCCAATGCACTGAACCCAGCCACATTGTCCCAAGCAATATTCTATATGAATCATTACCTCCACAATTCCAGGCTTTTTGCCCCAGATCCCATCCCACGCCATTTGTCTCATTGTTGAAAAGGATACTCCAAGCACTATGACTAGCTCAATGTTTTGAAGCGGTCATAGTGTTTGGAGTCTGAGCAATGTTTTTAATATGAAACTGCACAAACAAAGATACTTGATATTGGGGTCGAAGGTGTAACTCCACCTCCAGCAGCATCATTAGCCAGGCCAGTAGAAGAGTTCTGGACTGGGTAATTCTGTCAATACTGTGCATACTCCCTACATGGATGGTCATTATTTGGCTGAGAGTGAACAGCTGATGCTCTCAGCCAGTGTATGACCAGCGATATTGTCATCCGGCAGAAGCCAGATGCATGTTCCGTAACTCACTAGAATCTCCAGCTGGGACCCAGGAAAGCGGGCAGACTTTTGCAAAAGAGATTGTCCTATTACCAAGGTGCGGCACCAGGATATTACTGAATTCGTATCTACAACAGCAGGTTGTAGTAGTTAGCTTGGAGTAACCCTGTAAGTTTGATTTTTTTTTTTACATTTTATTTAGAATAAACACACTTATTTCCATATCTTACCTGCATAGTCTACATATCCAACATTATACCTGAGCATCAGCTTGCAGTGCGTGCAGTGTGGATTCTTCTTTGCAGAGACAAATAAGTGGCGGTGCCGTTACTCCCCACTATTCCCAGCCAAGAGGGTTCCATGACACTTGACGTCACAAGCAATGTGTTTCAGCAGCACACAACTCACTAACAGGTCCACTATAAAAGTATAGGGTTTCCTCACTGGTGTGAAGCGTACCATGTCTCGGGGGGACAATCTGGAAGTTGGGGGATCTTTAGTATGTGGTGTTATGTCTGATGGTAGCAGAGTTACAACAAAATACAATCTCCTAATCAGCAATGATATTTTGTTTCCAACTCCTACATTAGGCACGTTCAATCCCTTTGCTACTATACACAATCCTGCTGTAGCATCCATCTGACATGGCTGAGCTGGTTGAGGACCAACTGTACAGCTCCCAGCACACACCACATTTGGTTTCATTTACCCTTGCAGATGAAAAAGTGCCACAAAGTGTAACCCAATGGTTCCTAAACCTTGGGCTGGGATCCAAAATTAGGTCTCCAGCAGTTGGAATACGCACATACTATTGATCAGTCTCCAGGGAACTGCCTGCAATAAACTGTTAGTGTAGCGACACTGAATTCTCAAGTGCACCGGAGACCTTCAGACGCTGATATAGAGTCTCATGAAGGCGTTTTACAGAATTGATTTGTTATATATAAGAATACAGTTGAAAAATGGTTTGAAAATTAAAGAATGGGTTCCCAATACCATTTCTATAATTTGGGTCCCTGTCAATAATGGTTAAGAACCACCGCTCTGACTACTTAGTACAACCACACATTACCTGGATCCGCGATTGTTTCCACCAGCCCACTAGACGCGCTGCGTAACCGAGGTTCTGGGTTCTGCATGTGGACAGCATCATTGTCCTGAATTAATGTCAAATCCTGCATACTAAAACTGCGCAACTTCTCTGACAACACACCTTGTCCCTGAAAAAGAACATAACAAAAGGTACGGATTTGTCAAAAGCCACATTTCTCAGATCAGAACTCTCTATTTGTAGATGGTGCAATGCAGAGTATATTTATACTTGTGTTTTTTTTTGTTTTTTTTTCAATAATGGCGTAATGGAATGGATCTAAAATAATTAAAATATATCACTTTAAACACTTTTTTGTACGGAGACCGTGTTTAACTATTGAGAGATTTAACCCTGCACATGCCTCTGATCAACATCTTTGTTTTAATACAAATTATATCTTCAGCAGGACTTACTTACCTCCAAAGCATGTCCTTTTAGAAGGAGACCCAAAGTCCTTGAAGAAGTGTACATTAAGGGGACACTGTAGGCACCCAGACCACTTCAGCTCACTGAAGTGGTCTGGGTGCAGTGCCCCTTTTGCACTTCATGGTGCAATGTAAAACACTGCAGTTCCATAGAAACTGCAATGTTTACATTGCAGCTCTAAGACATCCAGCATCAGATTTTTCCCATAGCAAACCATTGATTTAATGCTTTCTTATGGGAAGGTCTAATGCGTGAGCGGCTCTAGACCCCCCTTGTCGCAGGACAGAGGAGGGGGTGGCGCATCGGCGCTGGGAATAGGTAAGTAAATAAAGGGTTTTTAACCCTTTATTTACCAGGGAGAGGGGAGGCAGGGCGAGCAATAGTGCCAGGAATACAGCTTTGTATTCCTGGTATTACAGTATCCCTTTAACAACTCTGTTTCATTCTAAGTAACGTTTTCAAACACCTTAAGTTATGAAGATACCCAAAACTTTCTGATTACACCTCATATTACACCACTAAACAATAATAGTGTCACTCCTGGGAATTATGAAAAATCTGGCTATATTACTCTGCTAAGAAATTATTAGAGCAGTTAAACCAAGAGGCAGTGAATTGTAGTGAATTGAAAAAAAAAAAGTAAATTAGATTCAGAAAAATTCTCCAACTCACCTGTAGGTACATTTGGCTAGTTTCTGTGAATCTATCCTGTACTGAATTGATTTTTCACTAGCTTTTCGAAATAGCACATTTCAGGCCAAAATGACCAAATAGGAACAATTTGCAAGCTCGGCTATTTTTCATGGCTGGAAATTGACTTTAAATTTGCAATTTTCGCATCAATTCCCAGAAACGGCCCAGCAGGGTCTGTAAACTAAACTGATGCATTGAAAACTAAATGGTATAATTTGTTCACGATCAGCATCACCTCATAGAGAGGCATTGAATCAGTTCATCTCTATCGGTTACGTTCAGTGTCTCCATACAGAGCGTGGAGACGCTGAACACCAGTGCCGCACAACACTGCCGGGACTGACTTTACACACCATAACCCCTACATTACGTTGTAATGGTTCTGGTGACTATAGAGTCACCAGACACTGTACAGTTTACAATTCGGTTTGGCAGTTACCTAAACACACTATTTAGTTAAAAAAAAAAATCTATGTCAAGGATTCTTTACATTCTAACAGCAAAATTAAGGCTAAAATAGCCAAGCGGTGTCTAACAGAGTTGGTGAATTTTTCCACGTCAGATATTTTAGCTTAAATTTTGCCATTCAGACTTTAATTGAGTTTTAATGAATAACCCTGTGTGAGATTTCTGTGTAAGGGGTGATTAAAAAAAAAAAAAAAAAAAATAGAGGTGGGGGGAGGCCTGACGTCCAACATGGCTGGACGTGTCTCTCAGTAGCTCCCAAAGGACACTAACTAATTTCAGTTATTTGTGCCTAAAACTCAAGCAATTTGACAACCTAAACAACATATTGGCGACTGCATGAGCCAGCGCATCGTATTGAGCCCTATCCAGGGTGTTCTGCGCCATACCTTTCCTGTCAGAGACTAAGGCCTACAAAGGAGGCCGTGCCAAACTTTGGTGGAAATGGCCGATCTGCCGACATTGTGCGCACCTCTTTACCAGCAATAAGCTTGGTGTGGAGACGATCCCTCGCCTATATTCAGTCTGAACTTGTCCCTGGAACGGTGGTCCCATTGTTTGCGGTACGCAGCTGGACTTTGAGCCATGGCCCTCCCGTTGCATAGTGTGAACTGCTCTTTCCTCACACATCTGCCTCCCTAGCTTAGCTCACTAGAGGCATAGCCTGAACAACCTAGTAATCTCCTTGTTTACATGCAACATCACACTTCGTGCCTGCAGTTTTGTATAAGTCTTTATTGTACTTGACACACACTCCGTTATTGCTTACATGCCAATTCTTCACCCTTTGCCATTAATACCATACTTTCTTCTAGTTTATACTGTGGGTAGTGCCATATGATAAGGAAGGGTTCAGTGGTATTTCTTTCTCCCTTTGTAAATCTAGCATTTTTTGTTTTATCACATACATCGATCATACTATCAATAAGCTCAGCCTACTTTCAGAGTAACTCACAAGTATCGCTCTATAGTAGTATCCTGTCTCAATGTGTGCAAAATGCTTACCAAATCTTACAGGCCATGATATAACTTCTTTAATTAACTCTAGCAAACAAAATCTTTAATGTTTAAAACGTTACATCTGTTCATAGTCTTGACGCAACAGTTTAGCGTGTTTATATTTTACTTAATTATTAAAAAATGAGGCAGTCATATCTAGGAGTTGTTAAACTGTGCTGTGATATCCCTATCTTGTATACATCTCGTTCAACTCTCTTTCTTTATACTGTACCACCCAAATCAATTGCCTTAATAAAAGAAAGATTGACAAACAAAAACAATAAACTAACATCCAGTTTATAGAAAAACACATATTACTAACAGTACCTTGGTAGCAGCAGTTACGGCGGCACTTGCAGCGATATTCAAACCTCTTTTACCAACACGCATCATTGTTTCATAACTCTTGTCCCTTGCCTGGGCAATATATTCATCAATTTCCTGAAAGGTCAGAAACAAAAAACACATTGTTTAGAAGATTACCATTCAATACCAAAAGGCAGGTAAACAGATTGAATGATGATGCAGGAATGATTACATAATGTTCTACTTCTATCCAAGGGGTAAGCAACCTTTTGCATTACAGGTGTTGTGGACCACATCTCCCATAATGCACTTACAGCGATATTACTGGCAAAGCATCATGGGAGATATAGTCCAAAACATCTGGAGTGTCGAAGGTTGCCTACCTCTGTACTACCTTAAGGTATTTCTAAGGTGTGATTCCTTCGAAATGTTACTAAAACACACTGTTCACTGAATGTATGTTTATAATCAGTATGTTAGATTATGTATATATGATCTTCGCATTAACAAAGCAAGAGGGGAATTAGGTAAATATCAAATAAAACCTTTATTGTTGTTAGCTAAACTTCCAAGATCACAGCAAACTATTTGTTGAGTAGAGCTGACTGCCTCACCAGTTTGGAGTGTCAGCTCTTCACTTAAATCATTGGGGATTCGACTTAAATAATCAAGTTTGTGGGCCTTTTGCCATTTAGGATAGATCTCAAATAAATACCGGTTTTCCCCAACTTGTGCATTACCACTGTTAGCGAATCCAGACATTTAACTGGGACATGCTTTTTTTTTTTTTTTATATTCTGATTTTATTTTATATATGGCAAATACTGAGGACTCACTGACTTAACGTACATTTAGAGATGTGAATGAAGGCCAAGTAGTAAATTTTATATTAGAAGACAGTCACACACAGTCAGGCTGCAGTATTTTAGAAGAAGGGAGCTGCGGACGTACGCACGATTAGCAGCAATTAGAGGGAATTATCTCCTAAATGTTAAGAGATCACGTCAATATTCCCTACTGAGATGTTCAGTAATGTATAAATGTTAAAAGCTGGACTGTTAAAAAAAAAAAAAACAGAACACATTAACAAAACCAAAAAAAGTCCTAGGACATTGGTAAGCACCTTAAATCTAACTGCTCATGAATTAGATTTAATTTTTCTGTCTGTTCCTGAATCCATATTGTAGTATTGCAATCTAATTAGTTTAGGAGCACTTGCTACACACAGGGCTTTTTACAAAATAGAAAACTGTCGCAAATTCATAGTGATTTCACATTAAAGGCCAAAATCGCCAAAACTCAAAAAGAAAAATATAGATCAGCTACTTTGGTCTTAAAATTGCAATTCACCTCTCTACTCTAAGGGTCCGAACTTCGTCAGATCTCTTTAGTACCTTTACCCTTAGCGTTAACCAAGGATATTTAAGTTTAACTCTATTGAGGGCACTTAGAGGAGTAGTTGGGAATTCCTCCTCAGTCCGGTCAGATTTCACCGGTATCAGTGACTTCATATATAACATTGTGCTATTCTAGTCCTGAGGGATTTACTATTATATAATTGGTCCTTGAGCTTAGGTGTACGATCTGTTGAGGGTATTCAGGTAGTGGAACGGTTACTAGTCTCAGTCTATAGCGGGTCTTTCCTGGTATAACCTGTACCGAACATTTAGTATTTTTAGCGGTTACCTTTCTGAGCATATTAGAGTGCTAACCTTCTGTGGAATAGCTATATTATATAGCTTAATAGACTAAGGATCTCGCTAGCTGCTACATAATATCTTTTGAGCATCTAGTGAGTTGGAGTCTCATTCGATACTTTATTGTTTATTTATTTCCACCTACCACTACATACTGTTTACCTTAGGTAGATGCTGACTGTCTTTTACGTTGTTTCATTTCTCCCTCGCTATATCTTTTAGGATTAAAGGACCTCTATAGGCACCCAGACCATTTCAGCTTAATGAAGTGGTCTGGGTGCCAGGTCCATGTAGGATTAACCCTGCCAGCTGTAAACATAGCAGTTTCAGAGAAACTGCTATGTTTACTTTAGGGTTAATCCAGCCTCAAGTGGCTGTCTCATTGAGAATGCTTTCCTATGGACTGGCTGAATGCGCGCGCATGCGCATTCAGCCGATGACGACCGAAGGAGGAGGAGAGTCCCCAGTGCCGAGGGAGCCCGGAGCTTGAGAAAGGTGAGTTTTTAACCCCCTTCCTCCCCCTTTAGCCCGGCGGGAGTGGGACCCTGAGGGTGGGGGCACCCTCAGGGCACTATAGTGCCAGGAAAACAAGTTTGTTTTCCTGGCACTATAGTGGTCCTTTAAGTCCCCTTTAGTTTCCCTATATAGTTTATCTTTAGTGGAGCTCTTTGTGAGATAATTTAGAAAGTGTCTCAGACTATATACTTATCCTCACATGTATCTCTGAGGACGCTATTAGTCCCTTCATAAGTATCTCTCCACTCTATGATATTTCTTCCTCCTCTCCTAACTGTTTAGTATACATACCATGCATGGCTTTCCAAGCAATATATTAAAGGTAATTTACCACAATTTTAGCATGCGTAGGTGTATCTAATATAGTATTTAACTTCACTTGGTTTTTTCACATTTGTGTTTATTGGAACGTTTTTTTCACTGCAATATGGTTTAGCTCTATTCATCAGTGCCACTCCAAATACTCTGGTTCCGAGACGGAACATTTCTCTTGTTGTACTAAATATATGGTTAGGCCCTTAAGATTTGGAGGACACATTTAAAGGGACCTTACCCTCATTTATTTTTCCTGCAATTCACTTTGAATTGATCTTGATTCGCTTGAAGTGAGATATTATTCACGAGACCTATGAGAACTCCTATGTAACTGCCATGTTGATAAAAAAAATTTACATCTTCAGATTTTAGTATGTTTTACTATACAACTTGCTGAATTGTAAAAAAAAATCACAAAATGAAAACATTTATTTAATAGAAAGTGCTTATCTCTATCCCAGGACTGTCCCAGGTTTTAGTCATGTCTTGGTGTTCTAAATCTTCTATGCTTTTTAAATACACAATTAAAAGTGCATGCACATATATGTTTAGTAAATATTTTACAGAAGAGACGCACCTTTTCCTTACTGGAGAGTGTTGGATGGACAAATTTCCTATAAAGTACACTAGAGCCTTTAGTGTACGGCGAGAGCAGCCATATTACAAATGCTATTTTTAATTCGAAATAGAACGGGAACCTGGCAAGGAAAATTGCTGGAAATTAGTATTTGGGTTAAATCACAGAGTAGAATTCTTTATAACACTATCACAAAAGAACAACAAAACAAGTTATCAGGGTTAAATATATTGCAGCAGCAAGAGTTTGTCATATAAAGTGATACCCAGTGCTTATCCCACCGGAACATGATATTATTTTATCAATGATGTAAAGGCGTAGATAAATTGTATCTCTATCAAAATAACATTCAGTGGTGATGGAAAAAAATATCTTCCCTGTTAAAGGGACATTCAGCGGCCCAAATTGTTGTGAATTGAAAAACAGAACTGTAAAATGTAGGCCAAACTAGCTGATTTGGAAAAATCCTCCAACTGAGATATAGTCATAGCTTGATTATTTTAGCCTAATGTAGCAATGTGGCTTGCAATTCAAGATATGTTCACTGAATAAACATCTCGTTCTTAGTTTACGTTATGTTTGTTTTATAAAAGCAACTGTTAAAGGGATACCATCAGAACAAACATGAAATAGCCCTAATGTCTGTCCTGCTTTGTAAATGATTTTCACCTAGTCTAAAGTACCAGTACAATTTCCCTGCTGAATGAAAGGATCACTATAGTGTCAGGAAAATAAACTCCGCCCACCTTCAGGGTCCCCCTCCCATGGCGCTGAAGGGGCTAGAAACCTTTATCCAGCGTCTGGCTCCCTCGGCGCTGCTGACCTCTCCTCCCCGTCGACGACAGCTCCCGAGTGGAGCGGAATGCACATGCGCGCCAAGAGCCGCCGGCAAATTCAAACAGTCAATAGGAAAGTATTTCTCAATGCTTTCCTATGGACGTTCTGCACACTGAATGCAAATTTCGCATCCAGCATCGCAAATGCACCTCTAGCGGCTGTCAGGAAGACAGCCACTAGAGGTTGGATTAACCCTGCAATGTAAACATAGCAGTTTCTCTAAAACTGCTATGTTTACATCTGAAGGGTTAAAACCTGGGGGACCTGGCACCCAGACCACTTAATTGAGCTGAAGTGGTCTGGGTGACTATAGTGTCCCTTTAAGATGTACAGAATAACACCAACCTACAAACATGGCAGATGAAAACAGTGTATTATTGGATGCACATCATTGGAGACACTTGCATCCATTTTCAATTGCAAGATGAAAAGGTCAAAGTCACCGGTCCAGAAAAAAATCAGGAAATGCTACCAGTTTGGCTACTTTGGCTCTAAATTTGAAGTTTACGTTAAAATCTTACTTTAATGAATAACCATATCTTAAGTGAGAATTCAAATTGAATTTCAAATTTAAGGTCAAAATAGCCATGCTGGAGAAATTCTCCAAGTCACCTGTGCTTTCAGTTTGGCTACTCTGGCCTTAACTTTGAAATTCCCTTTGAATTCTCACTTTTGTAAATAACCCTATATGAATCTTTGCGTATGTATATTCTTTGAATCTGAACATTTGTTGCAGATTTGTTTTCTAGAACACAGAATCCCTTTAAAACCTCCTGGTACTTCACGTGGGATAAAACAGACTTGTATCTGGAGAATCATGCCATTCTAGGCCATGTGCCGCGTCACAGCCGATTAGGTTTTAGACATGCTTCAGCAGGACCTTGTTAGTAAATTTAACTAATGGCATGGATCTAATTATGGTTCACTCTATCAATTGTATATAAAAATCTAACTAATATTAATACAGGATGTTTGCCACAGAAGAAGACTCAATGACTTGTTTTACATTAGTCACAGCTGCTCAATACTGCATGCATCTTAAAAATACACACCGTTATCCGCTTACACCTTTTATAATATTGTTCAAACTTTTTAACTTGGTTGACAATTAACAGAAAATTGCCATCTCCCATCCGCAAGGTATGTATTTAAACCATTTGCGCTTGGGACGGCTAACAAAACCTCTGGAAGTAGGAGTTTCCAGCTCTAAGCCATGAAAAGGAAAGGGCATGTTGCAGGCCTCGGGTAGTAAGACTGTTAGAAAACGATTTGACTACTTATATTGGGTGGTGCAAGGGCACTCTGGGCACAATAACTACTACAGTGTTCCTTTAAAAATGACCTTCCCATGGATAATCTGCATATCTGTGAGGGCTGAACATTTTTCAATATAATGTATAGATGTATTTCTGTATTTGGAAGGTCAACAGCCTTCAATACTTTTCATACAGCTTTGTAATGTTTCTAAGTAATATTTCTGGAACCCTTCAAGCCCTGTTAAAGTATTACTTTCTTTCAAATTTGTCATATCTTAATATAATCTTCATGTTATAATATTAAAGGAACACCATAGGATCAAAAACACAAACATGTATCCCTGACCCTATAGTATTAAAACCACCATCTAGTCCCCCTGACCCTCCCCTTGCTTCCCTAAATATAGAAAAATCTTACTTTTTTCAAGTCTGCAGCTGTTGGCTCTGTCCCTGATCTGCCTGTTTGGCTGACATCATCAGAAGTGATTCTCTGAGCCAGTCACAATCCTTTCTCTTGAGCCTGTGAATGAGGCAGGTCAGGGGCGAAGTAGGAATGCATCGAAATTAAAATTCTGGGCTGAAACCAAAAATTCAGGATGCCCTTGGCCGAAAACCAAAAAAAACGACTTTTTTCCCCCCAACTGATTTTTTAAAAGTTTTTTTCCTATAATTTTAATAATATTAGACTTTTTAATGAATGTAATTAATTCTAATATGAAAAACTTCCCTTCTCCCTTAGTGGTCCCCCCTGTTTAATGTTCCTCTATCCCCCCTCTAGTGTCCCCCCCCTCCCTATTCCATAGTGTTTCCCCCCTCCCTATCCCATAGTGTTTCCCCCTATAGTGTTCTCCCCATCCCATAGTGTTTCCCCCCTATCCCATAGTCCCCAGTCCCATAGTGTTCTCCCCAGTCCCATAATGTCCCTCCCTAGTCCCATAGTGTCCCTCCCCTAGTCCCATAGTGTTCTCCTCCCCCAGTCCCATAGTGTTCTCCTCCCCAGTCCCATATGTTCTCCTCCCCAGTCCCATAGTGTCCCTCCCCCCAGTCCCATAGTGTTCTCCCCAGTTGGTCCCCCTCCCAGTCCCATGGTGTGTCTCCCCAGTCCCCAGTCCCATAGTGTTCTCCCAGTCCCATAGTGTTCTCCCCAGTCCCATGTGTTCTCCCCCAGTCCTATGTGTTCTTCACCCCCCCCCAGTCCCAGTGTTCTCCCTCCCCAGTCCCATAGTGTCCCAGTGTTCCACCCCCAGTCCCATAGTGTTCTCACCCCAGTCCCATAGTGTTCTCCACCCAGTCCCATCTTCTCCACCCCAGTCCCATAGTGTTCTCCCCCCCAGTCCCATAGTGTTCTCCCCAGTCCCATAGTGTTCTCCCCAGTCCCATGCTCTCCCCAGTCCCATAGTGTTCTTCACCTCCCCAGTCCCATAGTGTTCTTCACCCCCCTCCCCAGTCCCATAGTGTTCTTCACCCCCCTCCCCAGTCCCATAGTGTTTCCCCCTCCCCTCTCCCCAGTAGGGATCGACCGATATTGATTTTTTTTAGAGCCGATACCGATAATCTGTGAACTTTCAGGCCGATAGCCGATAACTTGCCGATATTATGTACATTTACCATTTTGAAAAAATAACCTAATTCTAAAGGTAAATGCACAAAATATACATGCCACATGTAGTGGATGAAGTGTGTTTAGACAGGGGAGCTGTGTGTATTAGTGTATTGTGTGTATATAATGAATGCAGAGTGTGTTTGTGTAGTGTGTATAGTGAATGCAGTGAGTGTTTGTGTAGTGTGGTATAGTGAATGCAGTGAGTGTGTATATATATAGTGAATGCAGTGTGTGTGTTTGTGTAGTGTGTGAGTATAGTGAATGCAGTGTGTGAGTGTAGTGTGTGTGTGTGTTTGTGTAGTGTGTGTGTTTGTGTAGTGCGTGTGTTTATAATGCAGTGTGTGAGTGTAGTGTGTGTGTGTGTGTTTGTGTAGTGTGTGTGTTTGTGTAGTGCGTGTGTTTATAATGCAGTGTGTGTTTGAGTAGTGTGTGTATATAATGCAGTTTGTGTAGTGTGTGTTTGTGTATATAACGCAGTGTGTGTATGTGTAGTGTGTGTGTGTGTAGTGTGTGTGCGTATATAATGCAGTGTGTGTGTTTGTGTGTTTGTGTAGTGATGTAATTTGTGTAAAATGGGGGGGCATTTTTTTTTTGTTTGTTTAGTCCCCCCTCCCTGCTTCTTACCAGGGAGGGGAGATGTAGTATTCCCTGGTGGTCCGGTGGCTTGTTAAGTACTGGGGGGGCCGGCAGGAAGATGTTCCTTACCTTTCTTGCAGCTTCTCCAGCTCCCCTGTGTAAATCTCGTGGCCCTTAGTGCTGCGCGGAGCGTTGCCATAGTAACCCGTGGCAACGCTCTGCAGCCGCGGGTCTCGCGAGATTTGCACTGGGGAGCTGGAGGAGCTGCAAGAAAGGTAAGGAAGAAAGGCAAGAAAGGCTTCCTGCCGGCCCCCCAGTACTTAACAAGCTAGGAGGTATTATCGGCAATATCGGTACCTATATTGGCAGATACTGATATTACCGAAAATACTGAATATCGGCCGATTATGTTGGTCGATCCCTACTCCCCTGTCCCATAGTGTTCTCCCCCCACCCACCCCTGTCCCATAGTGTTCTTCACCCCTGTCCCAAGTGCAGTATTCTAGACTTTTCATGTTATCCTTACTATCTTTCATTGTAATATATATTCATCTGAATTGTTAATGCAAGCATGTCTGTTAAACTATGCAGTATAAAAAAAATATATTTCTGCAAATTTGACCCATTTTCGGCAGAAACGGGATAGTCCCATTTTCGGCGCATCCCTAGGGCAAAACCAACACAAGCCAAACACCGGTAAGGCAAATCAACATCTCCTCATAGAGATACACTGGATCAATGCATCTCTATGAGGGAATTTCAGTGTCTGCATGCAGAGGGTGGAGACACTGAATGGCAGTGCTCCACACTGTGCAGCACTGCCCCAGGAAGCACCTCTAGCAGTCATCTGAGAAGTGGCCAGTGGAGTGATCATTAGGCTGTAATGTAAACACTGCATTTTCTCTGAAAAGACAGTGTTTACTGCAAAATGCCTGACATGAATGATTATACTCACCAGAACAAACAAAATAAGCTGTCGTTGTTCTGGTGACTATAGTGTCTTTTTAAACATATATCATCTCTTAACGCTTTGCTCCCACTAGCTGTCCACTGTATCAGACAGGAGGGGCAATGATATCTTACACGTCATGCACTATGGAATTAAGTTAAAGGGACACTATAGTCACCTGAACAACTTTAGCTTAATGAAGCAGTTTTGGTGTATAGAACATGCCCCTGCAGCCTCACTGCTCAATCCTCTGCCATTTAGGAGTTTAATCCCTTTGTTTATGAACCCTAGTCACACCTCCCTACATGTGACTTGCACAGCCTTCCATAAACACTTCCTGTAAAGAGAGCCCTATTTAGGCTTTCTTTATTACAAGTTCTATTTAATTAAGATTTTCTTATCCCCTGCTATGTTAATAGCTTGCTAGACCCTGCAAGAGCCTCCTGTATGTGATTAAAGTTCAATTTATAGATTGAGATACAATTATTTAAGGTAAATTACATCTGTTTGAAAGTGAAACCAGTTTTTTTTCATGCAGGCTTTGTCAAACATAGCCAGGGGAGGTGTGGCTAGGGCTGCATAAACAGAAACAAAGTGATTTAACTCCTAAATGACAGTGAATTGGGCAGTGAAATTGCAGGGGAATGATCTATACACTAAAACTGCTTTATTTAGCTAAAGTAATTTAGGTGACTATAGTGTTCCTTTAATATTTTCTCTCTCAATAGTTTACTGAGCCTCTCTATGCCTTTAACGTTCACTGGAAGTTGTGTAGCATGGCAGGGTTGGTTGAGTAAGTAAAGTTAATAAAATCGCAGAGGTACTGGACACAAATATGAAACGCTAGGTCTCCTATACTGCTTATACTTAGTATAAGACATACAAGGCACTTGCCACAAGCACCATTTTTTCAGGTTTTTGTTCATCTACCCTTTATATTTCACTAGCTTTTCTAAATAGCAAATTGTAGACCAAAATAACATTGGAACAATTCCCCACCTCAGATATTTTTAATGACTGGATATTAATAATTTACATATTTTTAATTTTCTCAGTAATTCTCAGAAATTCCCCAGCAGGGTCTATTCACTAGAATATTAATTGTGGTGCATTGAAAACTGAATTGTGTAATTTGGGGTAGGCAACGTTTGGCACTCCAGTTATTGTGGACTACATCTACCCTGATGCTTTGCCATCCGTATGGCTGTAAGAGTATTATGGGAAATGTAATCCACAACATCTGGAGTGCCAAAGGCTGCCTACCCCTGACAGAGCTAAAGAGAGTGTGAAGTAGAGTTAGTCAGGTTTATTTTTAGTAAGCAGTCATTTCTAGAAAAAAAAAAAACAATGCCCATTTTTAACGGTTCTGTTTAGTTCCAGTCCTCTGTTTAAACAGATACTTAGGATACCAGGGAAGGAATCCTTGATGTTTATGATGTTATATAAAGGCAACTGTAACTACTCAAATGGTATTTGTCCCTAAAACATTGCAGAATTATTTGTAGGTAGAAAATGAACAGGAAAACTAAAAATAAATAATAACTATTTCTTTAAATGACTACTTCGCAAACACACAGAGTAGACTAGTACTTGCATAAATAGTTAGCAAAACGCATCATCAACAGTCACACCTTACACCTGCACTGCAATGTCTTATTTACAGACACATCCATCAGATTGGTGAAATGGCTGAATTCACGATTTGTCCTTGTATGTGAGGTCATGCTTGTTAAGAGAGCAATGCTCGGCTGCATCTAGATTTATTTTCAGATTATTGCCAGTGAGAAAGTGATGTTATTAAATGAACCCTCCAAGCAACATAACCACTACAGCTTGCTGTGGTGGTTATGGTGCCAGGGGTGGGCTGGCGTCCCCCATCATAAGTACCCAAACTGTTTTTGAATGGATTAATTTCTTGTTTGGGATTCACCAGTCCCCTCTTTCCGCCACCACTAACTAACTCAGAGAGCCAGAACTTTTTAAAAGGAACACTACAGCATTAGAAATATAAACCTGTATTACTAACACTATACTGCCAGTCTCCCTAGTTATATCTAGGTCACCCAGCAGGTTACCAAAAAAATTAAGAAAATTACAGTTTTGCTTTATCCAGCGCGGAAGCTCGGTGCTCACCTCTTCTGTAACATCCTTGATGGTCCAATGCAATGAGGAGCACTGGGAACCTAATGTTCATATGTGGCAGATGCTGCACACGTATTTAAGCTCCTTACAAGAAAGCATTGAGTTCAAAACTTTTCTATGAGTTTCTGCGTCGCGTCACCAAGGTCAGTAATTATAGTGTTTTTTTAAGCAGAAACCTTTGCTAGCTCTTGTGTGCAGTGCAGGGCTTCATACATTGGGTAAGAGTGATCACCTGATGCTCTCAACCAATTAACTAGGCTCAGCAATGCAGGGCTTAGCTCAGGACAGATAACAGAAGTAGTAGAGATAGAGAATGACAGGTAGTCAGTAAAAAATGTTTTAAATAGTTTGACTACTTACAAAGGGAGCGAAAAGGGGGGGGGCAAGCAGTAGTGGTTATGGTGCTTGGATGCATGGAGTGTTCCTTTAAATCAAGGATATTTTTTTTAAAGTTTACTGGTTTTAATGCAACAGACTACTTTGTGTGGCGAGCACTTTTTAAATTTTATTTTTTGCTTTAAAATCGGCTTTTATTAGAAAAAGAAAATGACATTGACTGTAATGAAACAATTTAAAAGAATCAACAAAAGAAAAAGTGACACAGGACATAACGCAAAAAGCATCTACATTATCCATTTAAGTACACTGTATATTTTTTTTTTTGCAGCTTGTGGAAAACAATTTCAGCTGATTGCCACTGTTACAGTTTGCATTGTCAATTCATTGATGTCTGAATGGATGGTCTTTCTTTGAAAGCTTTACCTTGACTATGGCCTTCCCATATAATTTGTTTATTTCAAAATGTTTGCACTGTATGTCATTTGCCTTGCTTTTTAAAATTTCAGATTCACCAATGTAAAAAACAAAACAAAAAAAACAAAAACTTTTGTAGCATATAAAGGCAACAGGGTCAAAAGTATATTCACTCAGTTGCATATTTCCAAAGTGTCATTCTTTACAATGTACATCGATTGTTTTGGATCTAAATGCCCCTGTGTTATAGTCTATACAAATGGAATTTTGTAAGAGCACAGAATTTGTGATTTTTAGTATTGTATTGCAATGCTTCAGAGCAATAAAATGAAAAAATCACACACCATTAAAGGGTCACCCCAGAAGGACACATGACATGTGTGACATGTCATGATTCCCTTTTATTCCAGAAGTTTGGTCCTTAAGGGGTTAAAGCACTTTAACTTGCTGAAGTGATTTCTGTTTGAAAAGTTTGTCCTCTTTTTTTCATCTTACAAAAAGTTTTAATAGAAATTGACCCTTTTATGAACTAACCTTATTATACTTAAATGGCTGTCAGGCAACTGTTACATCTTGGTTGTTTCACCAAGTATCTCTTGCAAAGACTTTTTATTGAGCTGCATTGGGAAGCTTGTGATTGGACAACCACAGAAAGCCTATAATAGGTTAGAAGATGAAGGCTTGTTTATTTGCACTACACTACGTGATTGGTTCTTGGTATGAAGCCACCAAAAATATTCTAAAATAGCCGCACTCTGAGGGCACACCTACAACCACACCCTTAAAACAAAATGGCCCTCTTTGGCTGTCTTACATCTTGGAGAGCGCGCTTTCTACTAAAGCTTACAAAACTCTCCCCCAAATTGGTTTAAATAAGACCTATTCAATTCCTTCTGAAATGGCCTTACTAGTTGCAAGAGTATTTATACGAATATGAAAGGAGCTGGGCAAATGGCCCAGAGATAGTCAGCGAACAACCTAATAGTTCAAGATTGATGTGCACATTGAAGATACAAGTCAAAATGTTTACGGGTGTCATGCTATGTTTAGGAACACTCGCAAGTAGAAATTGTCTAAAAATAATTAAAGGACCACTCTAGGCACCCAGACCACTTCAGCTTAATGAAGTGGTCTGGGTGCCAGGTCCTTCTAGGGTTAACCCATTTTTTTATAAACATAGCAGTTTCAGAGAAACTGCTATGTTTATTAATGGGTTAAGCCTTCCCCCTAATCCTCTAGTGGCTGTCTCATTGACAGCCACTAGAGGCGCTTGCGTGCTTCTCACTGTGATTTTCACAGTGAGAGCACGCAAGCGTCCATAGGAAAGCATTGTAAATGCTTTCCTATGCGACGGGCTGAATGCGCGCGCAGCTCTTGCCGCGCGTGCGCATTCAGCCCAGGAGGAGGAACGGAGGAGGAGAGCTCCCCGCCCAGCGCTGGAAAAAGGTACGTTTTTCCCCCTTTCCCCCTTCCAGAGCCGGGCGGGAGGGGGACGCTGAGGGTGGGGGCACCCTCAGGGCACTATAGTGCCAGGAAAACATACTCGTAGTGGTCCTTTAACTAATACAGAATCCCTGAGAAGCATATACAAAATCCTGTTGGAGTTAATTAATTGGATTATCCAAAATGGTATCACCAAGGGCAACTCCAACTACAGGCTCCTCCCAAAGAGGTTTGGAATTTAAATGGCTAACTGACAAGCCATTAAAAAAAAAAATAAAAAAAATAAACAGTCTGAGACTTCTGCAGTAACGGGGCACGCAAAGGAAGGAAGCCCAGATTGACAGACAGTATAATAGACAATTGGTCACGGCAGGTTGCTTATAGTCACAGACAGTATACGAGGCAATTGGTGACAGCAGGAAACTCAGATTCTCAGACACTATATGAGGCAATTAGTCAGGGCAGGAAACTCAGATTCTCAGGCAGTATATTAGACAATTAGTCAGGGCAGGTTGCTCAGGAGCATGGACAACAACAGACAAGATAGTGTGTAAGAACAGGAATCTCTGCTCTACCGCCAATAAACAAACCAGTATGCCAGGGCAGCCATTTCAGGTATGTAGTTAGTATACAAGTATATTTTTTTAATTTAAAGGACAAACTGTGATCTAAAAGGAGTAGTTATTGAGAAACTATCAACTTTATAGTTTCAACATGTGTGTGCAACACACACACACACTCATCCTCCCCATATTGTCCCACAAATGGATCGATATTAACCATTTCGTATTCTCCTATCCTGTCACTCAACAGTGAAATGTTTACTAATCTGTAACATGGACTCCTATACAGCGGAATTGATGAACAAACAACTTTTACTGTTAAATTCATTTTAACGGCCCAGAAACAATGTAAGATGGAAATACCGACAATTGTACTATCAATGGTTTACTCAGCAAAATTTAGGATTATGTTAAAACCCAGGGGTGCAATCACTGAGTTACTGCTTCCACCTCTAAATACTTGTCTATTGTGTGAAATTCCAACTCCATTGTATAAATCTGCCATGCCTAAACTTATCAGTGTTGTAGAATTTTGACCTTCCTGAGTAACAGCAATTCTATGGGCATAGAAGTAAAGAATCCTTCTAATGATGCCCAAATACCTCAAATTACATGGTTGGCCCACAACTTCTCTCAAAACAACAGCACATGGAGAGACAAAATAGTATAAGAACAGCCAGGTGCAAACCATATAAACACTCCCTCAAGTGCTTTAAATATTCAAATGTATATAGAATATAGAATGCACACTATAACAATCTCAAAAAAAACTTTGCTTTATTATGTACAAAAAAGTACCAGAGTGAAAACATATAAGAAAAGATAAACAAAGTGACAGAAGCAAGGGCAAACACAATAAAACAATAGTAAATTACCACAAAAATTCTTACAAGCCTCCAGACAGAAACACGAGTCACCAAACCCCCCAACGTTTCGGCACCAACTGGCTGCCTTTATCAAGGGTGCAAGACAAGAAAAGTGTGTCATGTGTCTCATGTCATCTAACCGGCACAGCCCCTCCACACAGTCTAGCTACCATACCATGCTATGTTTGAAGAAGGTCTCCAGGATGTAAATATATATTATTTAATCAATACACGATGATTTGTGGATGACAGGTCAGTGTGAGCTTTTAGAAAATCAGTTTACTGGAATAGCTGCTCTGTTTCCTAAAGCATCCTTTCACACTCACACACACACACAAAATAAATGGGAAAAGTTTATTATGACTATTCAATTGTATTGTATTATTGACAGGTCAATCATATTTGAGGTCTGTGAACAGCCTGTTAGGTAAAGAAGACAATACTTACCAAGAGAGGATAATGTCAGTGAGTGTTTCCGCAGTTGAGAAAAACGCAAACACAATCCAATACATCATCCATTTTACCTGAAAGACAATTGAAATTATACTCAGGTTAAAAACAATATATATGTAAAAATTAACAACACTAATACGCATGTTTCTATGTTTCTAATATTACAGTGTACAAATTAAAGGACCACTATAGTGCCAGGAAAACATACTCGTTTTCCTGGCACTATAGTGCCCTGAGGGTGCCCCCACCCTCAGGGACCCCCTCCCGCCCGGCTCTGGGGAGAGGAAAGGGGTAAAAGCTTACCTTTTTCCAGCGCTGGGCGGGGAGCTCTCTGCCTCCGATCCTCCTCCGTTCCTCCCCGTTGGCTGAATGCGCACGCGCGGCAAGAGCTGCGCGCATTCAGCCGTCATAGGAAAGCATTCACAATGCTTTCCTATGGACGCTGGCGTGCTCTCACTGTGAAAATCACAGTGAGAAACGCAAGCGCCTCTAGCGGCTGTCAATGAGACAGCCGCTAGAGGAATTGGGGGAAGGCTTAACCCATTCATAAACATAGCAGTTTCTCTGAAACTGCTATGTTTGTAAAAGAATGGGTTAATCCTAGCTGGACCTGGCACCCAGACCACTTCATTAAGCTGAAGTGGTCTGGGTGCCTAGAGTGGTCCTTTAAGCTAGTTTTAGTGCTTTGCATATTGTACACACCAGCTATTTTATCTATACAAGAGACTGCAGTAAGAATTCTGGGAACCACTTAATTCTGGAAATCCAACTTCTTATGTACAAGGAGACCGGTAATAGGGGGTGTAGCGGAGCTCCAATATTCAGCATCGATATCTCTGCTGTAGACTCCTTGTAGCTGAGGAAGCAATACGATATCCAAGGTAGGGATCGACCGATATTGATTTTTTAGAGCCAATACAGATACCCGATAATCTGTGAAGTTTCAGGCCGATAGCCGATAACTTACCGATATTTTGTACATTTACCATTTTGAAAAATACTGTTAACTGAACACGTTTATTATTTTTTTTAATTTTTATTAAAGTAAATGCACAAAATATACATGCCAGTCAGAATGGTTTATGTTTTTAAGAATGTGTGTGTGTGTAGTGGATGCAGTGAGAGTATTTGATTAGTTAATGCAGTGTGTGCATTTGTGTAGTGTGTATGTTTGTGTAGTATGGATATAGTGAATGCAGTGTGTTTGTGTAGTGTGTGTATACAATGAATGCAGAGTGTGTGTTTGTGCAGTGAGTGTATATAATGAATGTAGAGTGTGTGTGCTTGTGCAGGTATGTAATGTGTGTAAAACGGGGGGGGGCATTTGTATTTTTTTTATATATTTATTTTTTTACATTTTGTTTGTGTCCCCCCCTCCCTGCTTCTTACCTGGCCAGGGAGGGGGGATATAGCATTCCCTGGGTGGCCCTGCACACTCTTACTTACCTTCTCGGCAGCTACCTTCAGCTCCCCTGTCTAACTCTCGCGGCCTGCGTGTCATGTTGCCATGGTAACCCGTGGCAACGCTCTGACAGCCACGGAACTCGCGAGCTTTAGACAGGGGAGCTGAAGGGAGCTGCTGGAAAGGTAAATAAGAGTGTGTATTATCTGTATCTTTATTGGCCGATACCGATATTGCTGAAAATACAGAATATCGGCCAAACCAATAATCGGTCGTTCTCTAATCCAAGGCACAATCGCCCAAGTAACTAGATCACACACAGTTCTGGGAGTCAACTGATTTTTATTCAGCCACAGCTGGCTTTTATGCAACTCCCCATGCAAGGGGTTTCTTAAATTATATTCCAAGGGTTTTCCCCTGGTGGACCTGAGTGGGGACAAGGGACAAGTAAATAGTTCACAAACTCCTCCTCGGTGCCTGGGAGATAATGGAGTAAGAACTGTACTGTACTTAGAGTGTCCCTTTAATACATGCAGAACGTTAGGGGAACAGAACACCTGCAGAGCCAACCAGGGCCCTTAATCGTCTGAGCAATAGCAAAACAATGCTCGGTGTTCAAATTTGAAAGCAAATAGGTTAATCTGCGCATTTCACAACAAACCGTTTAGAAAAGGTTGGGATAATATGGCAAGCTTGCTGTAAATAACAAAGAGGATTGTAATGTCTGTTACTGAGAAAAGAAATATGACCTTCTGCTATACAAATCAAACACAAATGAAAATATGTAAATAAAGTACTTCAATTTTTATTCAGTAAAATGATCATATTTTTAACCCATTTTCTTTCAGAAAATATATGTATGCTAACTAAATATGCATGCTAACTTTTTTACGCATTTTAAAATTACAGTTAGCCCACCAAGCCCTAACCCATTTGCTCAAGATTTGGCGTTCAGCTGGCAAAAAAACAAATTTGTCCACCAGAGCTACATTACGTGATTGTGCAAATCTGAATAGGATTTAGAGTGAATATATCTCCTCCTCTCTCGTGTTATAGCAACTAGTTTTTTTAGGCCAATTCATAGCTATGTTCTAGATGTCAAGGAGCAGGTAAAGCAGAGTACACTTCAAAGATTATTGCAGGCTAATCAACAAAAAGCCTTGTATAGTACAGATGCTCAGCGTGACTGTACTTGCTGCATGTTGGTACCATGCCTAAAACATTATTCTAACATTGTGGTTGCATTTTAAAGAGACCATCAGGTTACATACAGACACCCATAACCAGGATAGAAACAAAAATGGTATTTCAGTTTTAATGTAATATTGCAGACCCTGTCTTTAATATTTAAGATTGGGGATAGTGTATAATCTTTATACACCACTATTTCTATAAATAATAAAATTACATTTTATAATTTCGGTATTGCACTATATAAACACATCTGCTATATTATTTTATGATTAGGGGCTAGCCTTGCATTTCATGATTAAAAAAAAAAAAACAGTAAGCTATTTTTTTTAAAGGAAAGGTAACAGTCAAGAGTTTGTTTTCTCAAACATCTACAGTGTTTTGAGATAAGAGATTTTTGCCATATGATACTCGGAGCATCAAAAAAAAGATAGAGTATACAGAGAAACATTGTACAATACTATACTTTTTAAAAGGGTGGGGGGGGGGGGCTCAAGTTAATCTTATTTTTAAGATACAGGATATAGTCTGTGCAATTTTAAAAGTAAAACTAAAATGTTAAAAATTACAGCTAGTAACACATGAAAACTATCTTTTCAAACTGGGTTTAAGTAGTACTAAAAAAAGGTCAGTTACAGCAGAAAGCATTAAAGGGTTACAGCAAACAGGAGTACCCTTGCCCTTTTTTCTAATAATTGGACAAATTATTTACTAATGGTTTGTCCATTTACCTGGGTCCCCACTGGGTTCCAAAGCTAGCTTTTTGCTATGGTGACAAACTTCTGCAAAGTTGGAAGCCTGATTCAGAAGCCTGATTCATCTGCTGAGGAGTGTTAAAAAAAATAAAAAATAAATGGCATAGAATTGACGTCATCCAGCCCGGAGGACAAACAAGAGGACAAACTCAGCTTTTCACTGAAGTGGCCAAGGTGCTTTTAAGTAACCCTTTAATTTTTAAAAAAGTTAATTCATAACAGATTTACCTCATAGTCCCTTATAACTGATATAACTTCCTATTTCTCAACATTTCAAATGGACAAAGATTCAAGGATGAACCCAATCAGTAAAGTTACTTGATCTTTCTCTTACATGTTGTACTGCAGTATGGAATATCATAAAAAATAGTGCATTTAATTTTAGGAGTGAAACATTAAAGGGATACTACAGGCACCAAGACCACTTCTTCTCATTGAAGGGGTCTGAGTGCAATGTCCCTGTCCCTCTTAGCCCTGCAATGTAAAACACTACAGTTTTAGAGAAACTGCAATGTTTACACTGCACTGCTAAGACTGCCTCTAGTGGCCGTCTACCAGACATCCACTAGAGGTGGTACATGCAGCTTCATGAAGATTGACTCTGAAACAACACTGGGCGTCCCCACACTTTGCATGTGCAAAACCCCTATAGGAAAGTATTGATTCAATGCTTTTTCGTGGGGAAGGCCTATTACGTGCGTGTCATCAACTGACGTCGGCGAAGGACCAGCGCGACATTGGCACTGAAATCTTGTAAGGGACTGAAAGGGTTTTTAACCCTTTCATGGATGGAGGGTTGGGGGGCAGAGGGATGCTTTAGTGTTAAGAATATATATTGATATTCCTACCACTAAAGTGTTCCGTTAAACTACACCTTTTAAATTGACTAAAAAAAGATCTACAAACCTAGTAACAAATTGGTAGTAGCCAAATCAGATGCTGTGTGGCCATGCTATGGAAAGGGGGTTCCTAGTCATGTGCAACTAATACATACACTTTATTTTGTGAGATAGGATATATGACTGCAGAACAACAAGGAACACCCCACAAATTCCACCAGATATGGTCCCCTTGGGTCATACTGGTTGTACAATCATGAAAGGGTAGATCCCTCTCCAAGTTAAGGAACCAGCGAGGACGTCACGCAGGCATGACTTGTGGAGGAGCTCACTAATGTCTCTCTCTTATTAGAGAAAATCTCCAGGAATTGAAAGTGAATTTCAAATATAGCCCAAAATATCCAAACTGAAAACAGAACAGACTTGTTAAATTTTTTCTAAATCACAAATTTTGGCCTCCATTTTGAAATTCACTGTGAATTCCCAGCAATTCTTTCTTTACTGAATAACCCTCTTACAGTCTTCAATTCTTATTTTCTAACCTGATTCTAAGCTGATAAACATTTCATAAAGATTAATGACCCTAAAATATTAGTCAAATATTTTTATACAGTAACGAGAAACAAATGTATTTCCAATTTTGTACAAAAAAAAATATTCTATTTTATCAAACTTACATATTCTTTGACATTTTTTGTCTTTACGGCTTTGTAGGAAGAATAAGCTGGATATAAAGTGCCAAACACCAACCTGCAAGGAATAAAATGCTACAAGTTAATCCAATGAATAGAACACGTAATACATCGATCTTTTAATTGCAGTCGTAATATAGAAATTAATTAAGCAAAATGGAAAAAAAGAAAAGTAAAGTGAAAAACCTGCAAATTTATGCATAATCACAACACCTCAGTCTGTTTATAGTCTGAAGTCTGCAAAAATACACCCTGCTCTAACAGAGATCTGCATTCATTGTTTTTTGTGGCTGTAAAAATAAATTATTTTAACTTTACTGATGAAGCAAAAATTTCCGCTGAGTTGTCTAAAAATCGCTTCCACATAGGAGCAACAAAACATCAGGTCTGTGTCAGTTTAGCAGCTTTTCATAAAGTACACAGACACTGAAGTGTTCATATCCCATGAGAGTTAGTCAAATCCGTAACGTTTACATAAAGGTTAATTCACTACGGTGTATTGTGGAGCTTTGAAAATGCTAATTATAATCTAAATTAGCCAAACTGGAATATAGACAAATCTAAAAAATCCCAATTAATCTCATTTGTCCAAATATGCGCAATGCCCTTTTTGAAATTTATTTTATTTCCTGGGGGGGGGGGAATGTCAGCCAGCTATTTTTCCTAGTTGGTTTAAATGCAGCAAATATATTAGAAAGTGACTAGTGTGAAAATACAAACATTTAGGCAAAATAATTAGTTTTTTCATTAGACGGTGAATCGTAGTGATTGAAACACCAAACTGCAAAATGTAGGTGATTTGGGAGGGGGGGGGGGGAGAGAATTAGACATAGTCACAGCGTGTCTGTTTCAGCCTGAATTTTGCCATTTGGATTTCTACTTCGCTGTTATTACTAATAAAGCTGACTTTAATCAAACAGAATGTGACCTATCTTATTGCAAAGTTTTACTTTAATATATTAACTTAGCATGCAACCTGGTACATCACGGTCCAGGATTTAGTATTTTATTTTATGAAAATTTTTTATTTTCAGGACACATACAGAAGCTCAGATGAAAGCAGAGAACACTTAGATAACAAAAATAACAGAAATTTGTAAAAAGAAAATAAATAATAATAATACAGCATTAAATATGAATTCATCTCACAGGCAGTTAGAATGGAGAAATTAGTTAATTATCAGATTTATATCCAGATTATCAGGGGGCGGGGGGTTGGTTTTTTTAATTGGATCAAGCAGCTAAAAAAAATCAAATCCAATGGCCTCAGGCACTGCAGCTCCATGTGGTTAAATGACAGGGCCTTCTGATCCAGCCTGTGTTCAAATCCAATATATTAGGGACAGTTCAGATGACATGACACATGGGCTCATTTCACAGAGGAATACAGAGTCAGCATCATGTCAGAGTAACAAAATAACATCATGGTCTGCAGCAAGGATCCAGGGAACTAGTCCTCAGCATCCATACTGTGTGCACACCTACAGAGCCAGCCAGCCAGGCACCCTGTGCACAGGGTATTAATACAGGCCATGGCATTAATCTTATTAAATAAATAACAAAAAATTATAAATCATAAAATTCACTGCATGCAAAACACACCCATTAATAAGATTATTTATAACCATTAATTAATTGAACAGGATAAAATTAATAATAATAATAATGTCACCATGGCTACTCTTTCCATGTGCCCCCCCAATACTTTATTACCCCCATTAACCCCTTACTTACACCACCAGCCGGGAGATGATCCAGGACACCATCCTGACTGTGCCAGTCGCCCCCTCCTATAGCCCCTGCACAGCCCCAGCCCCCAGGGATGGACAGGTCCAGCTGCAGGTGCACTGATGGCAGTGTTAACCCACTGGGTGCCAGGGAGGTCAGGAGCAGGTGCCTCTAACGGGATAAGATGTTGTCATTAAAATCCCGGACCCGGTTTGAGCCGTTAAAGGCAACGTCTCTGCAGCAATCCGGGAGGTGTGGCTGAGCCTTAAAGGGTCCTCGGCGATGAGATACTTCTTGTCGGAGGGCAATAAATCCAGGATACTGGCAGCATCCAGCATTACTGAGCTGGGACTCTCACATCAGTAAAATAAGGTCATCAGTCTCAGTGTCCCCTGTGACCATGGCCCTGGTATGGAGCAGAGCTGCTTTAAAATCATAGAGGAACTGGCAATACAGTGATTATTGCACAATAAAAGCTAGTTATAAGTTGTGCTTTTATTTCTATTAAAATTCTTAGTTTTACACTTTTATTTATTTAATTTTTTTTGCTGGGGGGGGAGGGTAACTGGGGTTACAGAAGTAACTGGGCCTGGGCAGCTGCCCCGTTTGCCCTGCGTTAAAGAAACACGTTTCCAGAGTCCAGTGGTGGCGTTCTTTACACCACTCGATCGGACGCTTGGCATTGTACTTGGTGATGTGAGGCTTGCATGGAGCTGCTATTCTGAACAAACTGTCCCATAATGTTTCTTAACACCCCCCCTCCCCTGTCCCATAGTGTTTCTTACCACCCACTCCCCTCTCCTGTCCCATACTGATCTCTAAACCCCCCTCCCCTGTCCCATAGTGATTTTTAAACCCCCCTCCCCTGTCCCATAGTGATTTTTAAACCCCCCTCCCTTGTCCCATAGTGATTTTTAACTGAGTGACGGCCACTGGAGGTATTCCTATCAATCAATGTAAACACTGTATTTTCTCTGAAAATACAGTGTTTACATTAGATTGCCTGCAAGGAGCTATAGGTCTCACCTGAACAACTACATTAAGCTGCAGTTGTTCAGATGACTATAGTGTCCCTTTAAGTTCCTGTACCACGGTGCGCGCTGTTCTGCCGGCCCACGCTACAATACAGGTAAGTAAACTTACACATTCGCTCTATAAGACACACAGACATTTCCCCTTACTTTTGATGGGATAAAAAGTGTGTCTTATAGAGCAAAAAATACGGTAGTTCTTATTTCCAATAATACCACTTATAGTTGACTGTAAAATATCTAGCAGGGATGAAATTTCATAAACTGACTTATTACAAACGTTCTTTTTTTTTCACAAATGTTTGTAAATGCGTGCTGCATAGCTAGGTGCTTGATTTTATACACCTGTGGCAATGGGTCTGATTGAAATTAGAGATGTGCATGGGCAAAAAATTCAGTTCAGTTCGGCACTTCCGAAATTCTGGATTTCGGCACTTCGGTTCGGTTCGGCGGTTCGGCACTTCTGAAATTCGGGACTTTGGGAATTCGGGACTTCGACAATTCCATAACCCTACCCCTAACCTACCCCAATTCTACCCCTAACCCAACCCCTAACCTTACCTCTACCCCTTACCCTAACACTACCCCATAACCCTAACCCTACCTCTACCCCTTACCCAGGGCCGGATTAACATAGGGGCTGATGGAGCTGCAGCTCCAGGCCCAGGCCCATGGAATAGGCCCATTGATTTAAAAAAATATATATATATATATTTTTTTTTTACATTTTTCTTTTTTTCACACACTACTCTTAGGGATTCCACCTGGCTTTTATTTTATTGGCACAGCCAGTATTTGAGGCTGCCTGGCTGGTGCCAATATTGCAGTGATACTGGCAATACAAATGCTGGTATTTTTATCAGTATAAACAAGAGATTACCAGCACTGGCCAGTAGGGGTCGCTGTATGTGGAGAGAGGCAGGGATAGGAAGTTCCAGCATATCCCTCCCTGCCTATCTATACTCACTGATCTGCAGGGGTGCAGCTACAGAGAGTCCAGACAGCAACTCCCACCCTGCAGAGACAGCCTACAGCTCGGGGAAGTGAGGGATGGGGGGAAAGGCTGGAAGGAGACATGGGGACACTGAGACACTAAGGGACATTGGGAGACATTATGGCAGACACTGAGACACTAAGGGACACTGGGAGACATTATGGCAGACACTGAGACACTAAGGGACATTGAGAGACATTATGGCAGACTCTGAGACACTAAGGGGCACTGGGAGACATTATGGCAGACACTGGGACACTGGGAGACATTATGGCAGACACTGAGACACTAAGCCAGTGTCTCTAGTGTCTGTGTCCCCATGTCTTAAAGTGTCCCCTATTTTCCCATTGTCCCCATGTGTCCCAGCCAGAGTCCCCTAGTCTCCCAGTGTCACTGGTGTCTTCATGTCCCTAGGTCTCCCCGTGTCCCCAGGTCTCCCCGTCTTCCTAGTGTCCTAGTGACATGGGGACCCTGGGATACATGGTGACACAGGGAGACATGGGGCATTGAGACACTGTGATACATAGGAGCACTGGGAGATCTGGGGACAGGACACTAGGGGACACTGGGAGACATGGGGCACTGATACATGGGAACACTGAGACCTGGAGTAATCGACACATGGGGGCACTGAGTCATGAGGGCACTGGGAGACATGGGGGCACTGGGAGGAATCCATCTATACAGCAGAATCAAACTAAGTAGTTTTTGGTGATTTTACAGCATTTTCTCTTATGTCACTCCTTGTGATTTACATCATGTGATGTCACCCATACATATTTAATTATGCAAATTGTTTTTCCAAGAAAGGTGGCAACCCTAACTACTTTTCACATACTCTTACTTAAGTATGGAAACCTAAGTGGGATGTATGGGAACAAAACTTGTGTGGACTGGCTGACAATGAATATAGTTAAAGGGACACTATAGTCACCAGAACAACTACAGCTTATTGAATTTGTTCTGGTGAGTAGAATCATTACTGTCAGGCTTTTTGCTGTAAACACTGTCTTTTCAGAGAAAATGCAGTCTTTACATTACATCCTAGTGATAACTTCACTGGCCACTCCTTAGATGACTGTTAGAGATCCTTCCTGGGTCATGGCTGCCTAAAATGCATCCAAACATTCAGTGTCTCCTCCCTCTGCATGCAGACACTGAACTTTCCTCATAGAGATTCATTAATTAAATTCATCTATATAAGGAGATGCTGATTGGCCAGGGCTGTGTTTGAATCATGCTGGCTCTGACCCTGATCTGCCTCTTTGTCAGTCTCAGCCAATCCTATGGGGAAGCACTGTGATTGGATCAGGCCACCACTTCTAATGATGTCAGCAGACTGCTTGTTTTATGAGTCTAACAGCATGCAGAGTTACAGCTTCAGGCTTGAATATAGTAAGATTTTGCTATATTTATGGAGGTATGAGGAACCCAGGGGGGCTAGATGGTGGTGTTAACACTATAGGGTCATGAATTCATGTTTGTGTTCCTGACCCTATAGTGATACTTTAAGGTAATGCTGACTTTGGTCTCTCTAACACTGTGGCATGTTCCCTTTCTTCTACACTCACTACATACAGCTTTTCTCTGTCCCAGACCATATACCAGGAGCTTCTGCCTGCTAGTAAGAAGGTAAGGAGACAAGTGGACCAGCAAGTGCTAGGGGACAGTCCTTAGAAAGCGTTGAGTGAGAGCATCATTAGATGCATTTATGCCAAACTCAGGGTGCTGTCTGTATAGTACGCCCTTAGTTGGCCAGCTGCATGATTGGCAGGCAGCCTGACATGCATTCATGCCAGGCTGGCCTTCTAATTCTTTGAGCAGACATGTCCTCTTTTTGGGTATGTTCGCCCCTTTTGGCAGGTCACGTGATTTGTGTCAGTGGCACACCCTTTTACCATGCCCATTGACTTCCTGCTTGACTGGACACTGCTGTTAGGGGTTATGGATTTACTTGAAAGATGAAAACATAAATTAGAGAGAGATTGGCATAGGGTATGTGTTTTCGTATAGCTGCTGTTTTCTCTCTCTCCAGCACCATCTCCATCAGATACATGATGCTTGGGAGTGTTTTACTGTTTTTGGTGGATATGATTCTGTAATTAGGCCCATCATAATTGTCAGCACCAGGCCCACTGGGCTCTTAATCTGGCCCTGCCCTTACCCTAACCCTACCTCTACCCCTTACCCTAACCCTACCCCTTACCCTAACTCTAATGCTACCCAATAACCCTAACCCTACCACTACCCCATAACCCTACCTCTAACCCTACTCCATAACCCTACCTCTAATACTAACCCTACCCCTAACCCAACCTCTATCCCTACTCCCTAAAACAACCGCAGATACCTTTGCCGAATCTACTCAAAGAGATTGAAGAATATGGGAAAAACTCATACTATAAATTAAATGTGTCAAAAATACAGGCTTTGGGGATAGATATCACTGACCCTTTGCCTTCCACGCTTCAAACTAATTTTAATTCAGACTGGAGGTCAGATTATGTGTCCTTCTTGGGTCTTCAAATCACTCAGAACCCAGATTGCCTGTTCAAATTGAATTATAAAAGACTACGTAAAGAAATAGAAATAACCCTGCAGTCATGTGAAGGGAAATACTTTTCATGGCTAGGTAGATTAGCGGCGGTAAAGATGCTCCTTTTACCAAAACTCCAATATTTATTTTGCACCCTACAAATTCCTGTCCCACAATCTTATCTCAATTCTATGCAGAAATCCATAGTGTAATTCATATGGGATCGTAAAATGATTAGGGTCGCTACTAAAATCCTTCATGCTTCTATGTAGGAGGGTGGTCTCAGCTTACCAAACCTCAAACTCTACTACAAGGTGGCACTGCTCTTCTCGGTAGTGTTATCTCATACATGAGCGCAATCACCACAGTGGAGTCCTATTGTGCTCGGGTGCCAACATTACATTATTTATTCTGGATACCAGTGACCCAACGCCCAGAGGTTGCCTCTGTGCTTCCCACCATGAGAACTTTACTTTTGCATAGGACGAGGTGTGGAAAAGTCTGTGTGACACTCAACCTTGGTCACAGTCTGCCCACTTAAGGAGCATACAAGTAATGAACCCTACTTTTAACACCCATTTATGGACAAAGAATGGCTGCACTCACATACATCAATTATTCCAAAACGGAAAACTAAGATCATTCCCCACCCTAAAAACCAAGTATAATCTGCGCACTAGAGCAAAATTTTCCTATATCCAACTTAAATC